GAACGGTAAAGTTCAATACTGATTTGTTTATTAGAGTTGATACAGTATAGTATACACAGCTAGGTAAAATTGAGAAGTCACTACGTCTATACACATTAATATAGACAAACTTACAACTGAGGCAGTCAAAAAGAAGTGTGATCAGAGGAAAGGATTGGCACGTGCGATGTCATGTTTGGAGAAGGCAATTGGAAGTGTATTTGGGCCAACGACATCGGACCACTCAGTTTCCTACTGAGCTCCGCATTAGAAAATGCAGAAGTATACGGAAACTGTGGAATTCGTGAACAGCAGACGCATAAACACTTGCATCAGTGCTTGAGTGTATGAGGTCAAATGAGCAATTGTTAACATCAAAAAGTGCGTCTTTCGCGCCCATGAAATTCCCTTTTTATATTGCTTCATCGGAAGCATGGTCTGCGGCAAAATCCTGCAAATAAGGTCATTGTAGACTAGTGCCTCTGCACCAACAAATTCTGAGGAAGTTGTCCAGCCTGGCCAACTAATCGCACAGGTACAGTGCAAACTATACCGATACGACACGACCTCTCGCCGATCTTCTACTACGACAAGGAGATGATTTTGGGTACGGTGGTAGAGCCGGCTTTGGAGAGGATAACGAAATTCTCATGTAAGTCACGATGTAAACTTTCCAAATCCAGATAGGTTGTGCTTTAGTCCAAACAGATGCCAGTTGGTATGAACGCGTGATCATGCTTTAGTCTCGCCCACTTAATCCTGCGGAGAGAAGAAACTCGTTCATGATGAGGACCTACTGAAAATACAGTATGTCCATTTTAAGCTAAGGAAGCGCGTACTTGGCTTTAAGCCGTTTGAAATGTATACAGATCATACGCCGTTGCGCAAGCGGCATCGTCACCACGTCTCTCACAGGAAATGGGAAGAGAGTCCATTCAATTTTGCCGAGTATATCTTCGAGGCTAGATATAAGCAAGGTCGGCTTAATAAGCTGGTGGATGCACTTATTTGTAGCCCCGACTATCAATGGCATTGCCAATCGATGAGGCAAAACGCACAGCTAATATCAGCCCGGCTCTCTTCGTACCAAAATTAGCGATGCTATTTGAATAAGACTGAGCGACGTGAGCAGTATGCGCGACCCTTGGTTGAAAATCAATTTGCTTGAATTAACGCTTCGATACCAGAGACGGCCAAAACACACAAGAAAAAGTAGTGGAGCACAAATTTTATTGAATGTAGTTAACTTCTCTGAAATGCACTGTGGTCTGTAAGACTAAATTGTAATCGCGCTACTTAGAACCGCTCGAGACTGCAGCAATGAAAGGATTGGGTTGTGCTCTTAAAGCAAACACATTCTGTGTTCTACTGAGCCTAATAAAGTCATGTCACGATCCCATTTTACCGAGACAGTTGGGTGTGAAGAACTCTGTTGAAGGTGAAGGAGCGTTTTTATCATCCCTCCGCTCCGAATCCGAAGCTGCGACGCAGTTCTGAATTATTTTGGAGATACTTCATGCCAGACAGTGCAATGGTGAACTCGAAAAGCATATTCGAGGTCTGACACATTGCAGTTTCGGACGCAAGTCATGAGTCTCAGAGTGAGACGACGTCCCGCCACAACCTAGTGACAATGAGGTCTAGCTTTAAGAGGGCTGAACTTCGCCGGCATTTCTTGATGAGCACGCGGTGGTCCTTTTACGCAGAACGCTTAGTGGGCGGGTGGGTATATTAGGGCTGTGTCAGCATTTAGTGAAGAAGGCGCGATTACACTCAGTTGAATACTTAAAGATTTCGAGGTCCTACGGCATAATTTTCCTGGTGTCTTGGGCGCTTACGACCTGCTGTACTCTCGGCTATAATCTCCAGCGAGTAAAAGGTAACCTTGTGGTTAGTATGAGACAAGTTATATCAGCTGTCTCATGGAGATTTGCGGTGCTGGAATCAGCAGGAGCTGGGGGTGATGGAATTTCGTCTCGACGTCCGTTTTTTACTTTGTAAAGTCAAGCATGAGACGACGGTAAAGACGGGTACCCTCCTCCCTGAAGCTGGTTTGTAAGACAAATGAGGCGACTCACTTTTCTCACCCAGTGCACTCCCGACTGCTATAAGTATTCTAGGACCATCTCTCATGGAGATTTAGAGTTTTCACCAACCGCTGCTGATAAAGCACAGGTAGTTGGCCTGAGGAGCGAGTAACTGTAAGTTTAGAAGGCAGGCGGAGCGACTTTTCGGAATCAACTTTGCTCTCGATGCCCAGACTGAGGTGGATTAGCATCCCATCAGTGTGTCGAGCAGAATTAGAAGGTTTAAACCACAATAATGCAGTGATGAACTGGAGTTCAAGAGTTGGCAATAAGCTTTCGCATTTAGATGAACATTCTGGGCCGTGGTCAGCGAATTAAAAATCGTTAAAGATTCCACGGAAGGATATCTTTTCCTGTGGATGAGAATGGTCGCGAGGTTCAAGGCTTGTGTAGCAGGTAGGCTGAGCGCAGTGAGCGCCTCATTCTTGGGGGGCGGCTAGGCTCAATGTTGTTAGATGTGGGAGAAGGTGTTTGGACAAGAATTACAGGATTGCTACAATCGTTTCTCGCTCGTGAGCACCGTAGCACTATATCCAAGGTTGTCGGTTTCGAGAATCGCGCCGTCTGCAAGGGCTTGCTGATCCAAGTTTCTGGTGCGCGAGAGGTTACTCCCAGAGCAAGTACAATCTGGGTAGCAGGCACGATAGAAGGCACAGGGCCGAGAGAGACTCCTTGTGCAGAAGTCGCTTTTGTGCAGTGTTATAAGTGACAAAATAAATGTGGGCTCTAGTAAGGTCCGCACCTTAGCGGGGGTATAACGGGGTAAGCCCACTTATCTTGTATATTTATTCATTATACATGTGGGATAACTGTTTTAATTTAACGCCTTACAATTGGGCGGGACTTATATTGCACTTAGTGTAATTACAGAATATTCGGAAGTACCAAAGTATCAGACGACGAAGCTATAAAATAGGGGTCCGTGGTATATATGGGCTGCCAGCTGCAAGATCAGAAAATATATTTTTACTTCTACACGAGGTTGTAAGACGTATATTTCTAGCAGTACTCAAGGAACTAAATGTGCTCTCGAAGTACCAGAGGTAAATAGACAACTAATTCCGTTAGAAGATCTCCAATCTGCTTCAGCAGGGAGCGCACCAATCTAGCCTCGGTGAATTTATTAATCTGGGCTTTTCGAGTAAAGCATATGTGCAAAGTGCACGGCAACTCCAGTGCACTACTGCTGTCAGTACAGTAATATCAGTAAGATGCAGCCAGGTTGTTCCTCGAAAGAGATCGCGGCTAACTGATGGTCATTTTTTCTCTGAGATCCGTGATTGTGTTCAACATGGTGAGTATCAGATTGAATATGTCGAACAGAAATCGCCGACAGACAAATGTACAGACGGAATGTGTGTGTCGCGCGAGAATATTCCTTCATTTGTGGAACCGCAGTGTGAAGCGAAATGCTCCATTTCACCGTATTTTTTAATAGTGTTACATTTGACACCGCCTCAAAGCAATAGTTGGTTGGGGTACGGTTGTTGATATATATTGACTTATTGATTTCATCCTGTAGTTACTGCGCCACAAAATGACATATTTTATTTTGAAGATATTGGACATCGTGCGCCGAGTACGCGGCGCTATAGCTGAAAGATAGAGGCATAAGCAATGAGCAGATTCCGGAGCTAGGCGAATAACATTTGCAGCGAGTATATAGATTGACGCGATTAATCTACAAACACTCGCTAATCACGTACTTACACATGCAGTGTCTGAAGTCTATATGAAAAATGGCGTTCCCGTTACATCGGACTGTTCACGGTCTTCGTCAGAATAAGGTAAGACTATATAAAATTTAGAAGTGCGAGCACATTCTGTGCTCTACGAGGACTCGTTGATGCCACATCACCTTTTCGCGCCTACACACCATCCGGATGTGAAGCGCTTTGTTAAACAGGAAGCAGCGACATAACCAATCCATGTACTCCAGTAACATCCGCGCTAGTGCATCACAATGGCTCTGAACTGCATGGGATAATTCATACGATGGTATAGCTCAGTCAGTGTATCCGAATTGTGACGCAACTCAGTGATGGTAACACGCTTATACTCTCTAAGAGAGTTGACATACCGCAGAATTTCGAGATCCCGCGAGGGCCAACCGCGAAAGGATCGTCGTCAGCCAAGTGCTCGAAAAGCAAGGGGTAGTCCGCTTTCATGTGGACCGTATGGTATTCGGCGGATCGGCGATATGACGAACGTTAATGAAGTAAATGGGAGATATTTTCACACTGCCAGCGCAAGAGAGTTTGAGGTCCCAGTTCGGCAAGATTGTCTTGACGATTTTATTCCATATGACCTGAAGCATTCTCAGTTCTTATCACCTCGCGTGAAAAGACAGTGTAGCCAAACGCAGCGCGCTTTTTGGCGTCCTACCAAATTTTGAGTTTACTCGGCTATAATCTGCATCAACAGGCCCATGGCGCTAATCAAAGATGTTACTACCAAAAACTTTAGGTCGTGAGCATCTACCTTGACGCTTATGTTGTGTTTAATACATTGCAAAGTCAAGCATAAAAAAACGATCCAGTGTGACTGTCGATTTGTAAGGCTGTAAGACGATTAATACGACTTGTGTTCCTCTTCGAGTGCGCAAATTGATCGCGATACTATTCAGTTGTTTTCAGCATTCTGTACACAACGTACGGTTCTCATTGAGGTACAAAGTTACGCCAACTCAGGTGTGCTTTGGGATCTCTGAGAGGTAGTGCCCCGAGAGACAAAAAACGGAGCAGATTATACCACTCAGTTTGCTGTATACTTGAGCAGAAGGTTTGCTTGCAAGATGTGCGTTTGAATGCCTTTTTCGGTGGAACATGCAAGTTCTGATAGGTTCAACTCGTTCCATGACGCGACAGGACCTGAGGATGTCATTGTGACTCTTTCCTTGCAGACGGGCAAGCTTCGGTTAGGCTGGGTGTCGTCATGAGCTTTGCCGCTTAATGTTGTGACACAAGAAAAATCGGGTATGAAGCGCGTAGATTGCGCGTGGGAGCACTCATTCCCGAGAGGGGATCAGCTTTAAGGCTTCTATTGTGAACGGAATTGACGGTTTGAAGTTCGCAAATCAATATGATCGTTTTTTACATGAAGCACCTTGGCCTCATCACCCGGAATATATTTGAGGTCGTCGGTCGCAAAACCCGTGTCATTTCGAGAGAAATATTGAGCCATGGAAATGCACCAGATAAAGTATCTCCGATGTGGACGAGGCTTAAGAAGCAGGTATTATACATGCTCAAGAAGAAGATATATCTCAAGTGCAGTGGGGTCCTTGTTGAGCGCTCACTTTTGCGAATATCACAATAAAACAAATGATGTTGATCTCCAAAGTAGCTCCGTACTATGGTTGACGTGTGACGGCGCACGCGCGATATTATGAAGCACGGGGCGCTTTTGTGCAAAGCTCAAATCCTTCAGAGTATTAATACTGAAGAGGACGAGGGGGCTTTGGAAAGGAGAGTCCGCGTGACTGTTAGCCTCACACCATGCAGTACATTGTATTTATTATTGAAGATAGTAAAACAGATATTATAGTGCTGAATCAAGTTAGAATTCAATTTGATACACGTCGCCTACGAAATTATGAGCAAAACTTAATCCAAACCACATGACAAACCCTCGGCTCCGCACTTGGGTGAAAAGTACGAACCTAGCGTCTGTGCGTTGTTACGCGGGCTTTTTAGTCAAAAATCTTCTTTGCAAAGTACACTGTAACACTGTTGATGTTTTAAACCAGAAAAAACCGTATTTGATTTAGGATGAGAAAAAATATTGTGGACTCAGTGAAATTCTCATGTTGGTGGGAAAGGTGTGACGGAGTACGTATTAACTCTGTTGCCCCTCCAGCTTAGAGTGGAGGTAATAGTAAAGACAACGTATATGTCAGACTGTTATGTGCGCACAAATAACACCTTCATTTAACTAGACAGCCTATACTATTGTACAAGTGTACAAAAACTGCGATTAACTTTTTGTATTATTGCACAAAATATAAAGGTGTCAAAGTATGGGAACCAATGAAGACGATGGTCATCAGTATAGAATCGGTCTGCGGGACACATGTGCTGTTAAGTTTACGAGAAACAAAAACAAAACTTTATAATCGGATATAGTAAAGCAAATATGTTCATACTAGCTTCAATAATAACAATCTCAAGTACAAAGCAATATCAAGTACAAAGCAATATCAAGTACAAAGCAATCAAAGTACCAAGTAACTCCAGAGTCTATCGTTTCTGCTCCTAGTAAGTGTAGTGAGCGTTTGCCAACTCGGATAGCTTCAGTCAAGGCGATCAGCAGTCGCATTGCACTCGATAAAACACGTAGTCAATCCGACGACCGAATCATAAAAAAAGCCAGCCTAGCACAAGATCTTTAATTTCCTGTTCTCGACACAACTGGATCACACTTTTTAACTGATATCTATCTTTGATCCAGATCCCGACGGGGACAGAGAAGAGGTAGCAAAGGCTCGAGTGGGAGCGTTTTCTAGCTTCAAAAAATTACTGCTGAGACATCTCCAGAAACACCCCAATCCGGGCGTCAGTGGAAGGTTCACATGACCCATTAAGTGCCCGCTACTGTTGGGCGTCCTGCCCTTAAAGAGAAATCTGTATCTGAAACTCGGGTGACTGTGAATTCGGTCATGCTCCAAATGAATCAATCGCGCGGAAGAATATGCACTAATATGCAGTACATTTCTATCAGGGGCATTTATTAGCATGGAAAATGTCAAAGCGACAAATGACGCGGTTTGTGCTCCAACTTACCAGGCGTACTGTGTGAGTTCATAATTCTTATCTACTCAACCGGTTAGTAAAAGCTGGTGGACATTGACCAAACGTTGACATCTGTATTTGTCACGACGGCGGCGGACCAATTATCGATATTGGTACAATTTTCTTATCTAGAAGGTCCCCGCGTAGATTCTGCTCGCATTGATAATATCTACGTGCAGTTAACCGCTTTAGGAAAAAGCAGTACAAATTGCATTCAATGCCCGACACAAATATCAAGCCACATTGACCGGTTGCATGGCAAACGGTGAAGGCTACACTAGAGGTAGTAGACCACAGTTACAATAAAAATGAAAGGGATTGATCTCTTAGCTGCCAAACTGAATTGTGGTACTCGCAGATGCAAATTACACGCATTTGTACCTTCGTGCCCCCCCTCTCTGTGAATAGGTGCGAAGAGTCAATATTCGATACAGGATTTCCTGACAATTTATCGCGGGTAAGCATTGAGTCTTAGTATGCGCATGCGGTCTATCGAGAAAAATGTGAGCTCTGTCGCGCTTTGTACATGGTGAGGATAGTAAAACCCAGCCCACAAATGGTGGCTTTATCTAGGAAATTTGAGTCTCACACCTCACAGTCCTTGATTGCCAACATCAACCATCAGATTTCATGCGATCGAAAAAGGTCCTAGAACGTCTTGTCGTTACATACGACGGGTGACTGTTGAATATAGTAGCCAGTAAGTGTAAACATTAATTGCACCAAAGCACGAATACAATATTCATGCTTTTTGTGATGAGAATGTGTTGAGTGTTCTGTCAAACTTCCTTGTGAGCTTTGCAGTGCAGTGAAAGTGTTGCCTCGTCTTGGGCCAGGATTTATGATTTGATCTCTAGATATGGTATGGCTTGAACAACTTACGTCACGCCTCGACGCGAAGTTGAGATCTTTAGGTGCCACGCATTTTATTCTAGTGGGCCTCGATGATTCATGAACCACTGCTAGTAAGAAGACGCAATTCTGGAAATTACTATAGCTTCGATGCATATTCTAGGATCGTTCGAACTTTCTAGCACATCGCCTACTAAGTGCCTAGAGAAGAGCTTAGAAAAGACAAAAAAGCAGTCATTCACAATGCCATGATTAAATAAAATTTAATCGTCGTATATCACGGTCTCCAAAGGGCGTCTCGCCGGTACAGAGGTGAACGACAATGTGTTGTGATGTATTTGATGGGTTAGCTAGAGGCAGCTGTAAGCTGGTATCTTGTGTGCCAGACCCGGGATCGTGGTCTTCTGAGTGTAAAATATCCTGTGGAACGGAGAGTAAGAGTTGCAGGTGAAAGTATCAGGCCGTGAGGCAATCAAGGATGATTCGTCCTTGTCATGAAATGGTACTACTGAGTCAGCACTACCGCGCGATGCGCTCACTGTGCAGAGCAGTAAAATTCACGTGTGTGTGGCGAGAAAGATATCATTCCCGTGAACAAAGTGATCGGATAGCTCTAGAGATGCTTAGCCCCCTACCCCCCGGCAGAAGCTCTTATAGTGAGAAGATCTATATTACTTGAAGATGTGCGCAAAACATGCAAATGATTAGAGGAGGAACTGGGCTCGTTATCCGCCATGGAGAAATCTCTCATTGAAGATATTATCAGAGCATTGTGTGCGAAAAGCTGACAGCTACTGCGAGCAAGATCTCTGACTGTAGTTTGTTATACCAGGAAAACTCGCTTATATACCGCCGACATTCAGCCGACTAGTGACACAGCTGCTCAGGCCATGTCGTGGCTATGCGCAACGGTATATCGACGATGTATTCATCCATACCCATGCAGAGCAATTTGTTGTCCGATATGGTAATCCAACTTGCGCATTTGCGAGCAGTGCTCGAGTGTATGCGCTCTAACTGGGCCCGATCGCGATAAAATCGTTTTATACATATAACACAAGTGCAACATTTAAGCCATAAGTCGAGTAAAAATTGAAAAGTTATATGCCACGAATCTCTCTCGTGTGAGGCTTTAGTGAGTCAATAATCCACCCTTCCAGAAAGTAGAAGTTATATGGAGCGGGCACAAAGATGTGCTAGCAACCGTGTAGGACATCGCATTGTCCGAAAATATTGACAATGGTATTGCCAAGCGCTTAACAGAGCTCGGAAAGAAGAATCAGCAGTGAGCTATGATTCCATACAGAGACAGCTGAGAGAGCTTGATAAATGCGGTGTTCCTGCTGAGACAGTATTGTGCGATTTTACGTTGCGTCGTGCTCTTCAAAGAATGACCGTCCTAAAGGACATTTTGTATCAGCTATTGGCTGGTGTCTCTCGTGCCAGAATCGGCGTAGAGTAAGCGCGACCATGTATCGCGGTCTCACGTAACAGGGCTGTTGTAGACGGATGACGATCAATCGCAAGCAGAAGAGTCTTAAGATGAGGTGATCAAGAATAGTTAGTGCTTTTTGCGATGAAACAGTATTGCTGAGTCAGTACTACCGTATGAGGCGCTTACTGTGCGGAGCAGTGAGCGCCACGAGTCTGGGGTAGATCTTCTTGTTGATAGACTGTCAGGGATTGTGTATCCTTTCTCTTTATACCATAGAGGCTCTAATCGACTTACAAAATAATCACTTGGTGATGTATACGAGTAATTGCGCGATGGTAAAGTAGCCGATCTGGTCCTTTCGTACTGGAGAAGGAGCTAAGCTAATCATCCGTCATTAATGAATCTGTCGTGAGGAAAAGCTCAAAGCACTTATTGCGGAAAATGGATCGTAGAATTCCTTATAATTTCTCTTGAGATTAACACACGAGGTTGTTACAATAAAGGCTAGTAGACTAGCCGGTGACTCTGCTTTAGACGAATCGGGGAAAGTAGCTTGGCATAGCCAACTACTTGGACAAAGACAGAGCAAACGATACCAACATGACACGACACCTCAACAACATTTTTAAAACGATGTGAAATGGTGGTGGGGTGTGACAGAAGAAGCGACTATCAAGGCTATACAAAGCAGATCGTGCGTGCTCCAATTTTGGCCGTTTCGAACCCTTATCGGTCATTCCATGTCGTCTATGAGGCTCCGATCCTTGCTGTAGGCTACGCTTACATCAAGTAGATGTCGGTGACAAGAGCGCATAATCCCGTCTGAGACTCGCCAGCTTATTGAAAGTACTGTTGTCAGTCTGCACCGCTATTTTTTCATTCAAAGGCTTGCTGTAGCTTAGCTCCGCTTCATTGAAACACCACGTGTAGTGATACGGCATGATGGGGGCCCCAAACACAAGATTATGTCCGATGACATGATAATCTTCAACAACCGCCACCACGGGAAGACATACTGATCAATGAGCTCAGCAAATTGGCGGTCCGATATGTATAAGCGGGTAAATACATATGTGCGCACGTTTCAAATGTGCCAACGATTTAGCGCTCGTCACATACGTCTGCATCTATTACGAGCCTGCTGAATTCGGCAAAGTGCTGGCACTCCATAAGTATGTATATAATTCTCGAAGTTTTCAACTGCGTGTCTCGTGATACCGGTATTGTGGTCTTTGTGGATTGCCCGAGTATCTTTACAAGTCTTAATTCTGTCAGCAATGCTAGAATACAGCCAAGTTGATGTACGACAGTATCTTTTTCGCCAACACGGCTTGCTGGTGCTCATTGTATCAGATAGAGACGTCCGTTTTACATAAGAGTGTTGGCAAATTTCATACAAAACTAGACACCACTTCGAAAATGCTTACCCTAACCACTAGCAAACAGGTGGTCATATAAAATGCAGTTATAGCTTGCTAGACGACAAACTCTAAATCATCGCAGTGCCAAAGCAAATTTCTTTCGCATTGTGTCGGCGTTGTATAACGCAGTGCGTCCCTATATAGGCTTTACCCTTTCAAATCGATGGTTTGCACAACCCCGGCTCTGATTTGCGTTCGCCAAGAAGCTTCTCTAGGCTTGGAAGGAGAGACGCTTTCAATCCAATTGGACTTGCTGATATCAATCAAGATAAACTTCGTTGTACAATTAACTTTGTTTCAATGAGTTTGATCGTCATGCGACAGAAGTGCTACGCTACGAGTGAGAATCAAGTGATCAGAAGCAATAACGACAGGCACAACACACAAATGTGAAGTCAAGCAAGATTCTTTAATCTATCTACACGTGCAGTATCATACTTAATAGCGAGTGCGCTACATCGAACCGTTCCTGGTCACATCAAAGCAGGAATTCGGTCATACCTCAATTAGATCCATGTGTTAAATTTATGACTCTTGAAGCTATATTCAGATATCGCTCTTACAAGCCAGTCGAATGTGAAGGGCTGTATCATAGGCTGCAGTTTATAGCATCTCCGCCATAAACTGCAGCCTCTACTATAAGGAATCGACGCAGTGCAATGATCAATTCATCCGAACCACGATCCATCTTAGATCCGGACGCACAGCGTGACTTTTGAAGAGAGTAAAACTGCCACCACACTCGATACAGCACTAAGAAAACAGCCGCGGAGGGGGTCGTTCTTCACCTGGATCAATCGATGTGCAAGGGGTCATCCAATCTCGCGTGGAACATTTTTTCAACTGCCGTATACAGCAATTCTGTTGCCAATATCTGATGGCGTAAACGAGAAATCCTTTATGCGAAAGCTGATCAAAGTTTGAGGCTCCACGTTTCTGGGATTATCTTTTTGACGTGAGAGTGCACCAGGCCGCTTACGGCCTGGTGCACTCTCGGCCTTTGTCGACGAAAAGAGGCAGAGTCGCCTGTCGTAGTGTGAGAGGCGATCGATCTTGCGCTGATAGGAGCCTCGGTCGGTAGCTCTTATAGCTTATTTGTCCGGACGAGCAGATATGTAAATAGCAGCAGCTTGAAGTGGTAGGCTATCATCTCGAAGTCTGCGACGAGGTTTGTACTTTGCAAAGTCAACAATGTAGGTAAATATTGTTTTCACAGAAGCGGCTTTGTAGAGCCTCTAGATGAATGCGGCGGTGCGATTTCTTCAACCAGTGTGCATTTACATATGCTACTCATCACACACCCCAACAATCAGTACTTTGGGAACATCTCTAATGGTGGACTCGGGTCATTTCCAGCCGGTGGCGCTCGAAGTGCAGTCATTACTCCTAAGAAATTATGACCAGCGGGGTAAGAAATCACTTGCAGAGTTACTAGCTCTTAATTATTTCCGTCTCGGCGTAAGCTGAAAAATCACGCGCATAGCACTGAATATTGCTTCTCTTGCCGCGCTTTAACACCTTAGATAGTTTCAAGAGAATTAATAAAATGTCGTGCCATGTCAGAAAATCTTGCTTTGAATCTGGGCTATATGCCGCCGGGGCCAAGCCACTCTCTTAAGTTATTATGGGGCAGAACACAGGTCTATCAATGCTGGCCTTGATACTTACGAATCTAAGTCTGACATTACTTTATAATAATATAGATAAGAAGAAGGCAAGTCTGTAGGCACAGATAGAATTGCTGAATATCTTATACACGAGACAGCGTTTTTCGCTGTCAGATTCTCAACGTCAAGTTGAAGGCTCGACGTGTTCTTCAGCACATGATTCTTGTTGTCTCGGTGTAAGACTCATATATATCGTGTCCATTTTCAGCCTCTTCAATGCTCCCGTATACTATCTATTGGTTGCTAACGACTGTGAGAGATCAACCACTCGTATCTCTCAGCCGAGAACGAAGGGGTAGAAAATGCGCAAATACACAATCATGTAACATCTGTAAGCAACATAAAGTTGCTCAGCCGTGAAGTTGCTCAGCAGTGAAGTAAAGCTCTTGATTCTTCTTCAGCGTACACAGATCATTTGCTTCTAACGCGGTTATAATGCGTCAGCTTCCAATTTGGCTTCGTCACTCATCGCACGGAAAATATTTTCACATTCAATGCGACACCACCGCTTCCTTGAAAGCGTAAGGATGACAACGGAAGGTCTAGTTGCGAGCTACACCAGTTTGAAGACATTCTATGAAAATTGTAATCGCTTCTCCCTTCGGAAGAAAATTAACGCCATTACAGCGATATATGAACACTAACTTCCTGGATATAGTCCGCGAGCTCTCGACTTCTCTCACACGAACATTACACACTCGATACCCCTGATTACGCAGTGCGATCACCTGTGACATATTTCGATTCAAATCTGTCGATGGTGTCTCTTCACAAAGATACTGCGTATTAATGTGCGCAGCCTCCTAACCTCGAGAGCGCAAGTGAAACTTTTTCTGCTTAACGTATGTGCAAAAAAAATCTTCCCATCCGAGGGGGATTACTCTGTTCCTGCCTTCAAAAGCCTGGACTCTCCACACTTGTTGCCTCATGGCGGATGCCATCTGTTCTTCCACGAGCATTCAGTTGTGTAGCGCATTCTTGTTGCTGGTGAATGGCCCCAGGCGTCTTCTGACCCTCGACCGCTAAAACCTGAATCTTTCGTTGCCCACAATCGGTACAAGGATTTCGCTTGTACCAAATTGTTCCGGAGATAGGAACTATTCACACAAAGGGTGCAGCCTCTTCATGACTCGGTTGTGAGAAATATTGAAGTGCTACCATGTGCAACGAGTTTGTCGGACGCTTTGCAAAAAAAGGCCTCGACTGAAAGATATCGCCTCATGAGCGCACAGAGGATCAGCTTGTTAGATTGACCTTGGAACGAAAGCCAGAGTCTCTAACGTAAGTAGTTTCTAAACTGCTTGGCTATCTAATGAATAACGTGTGCTTAATGTCCGATCCAGACGAATACTTGATATCACGTTTTACCCTATCAGAAGCTTACCTGTACCAAGGTCCTCAATTAACGGTCTCTTTCATCTTTGTAAGTATTAATTTGTTTTCAAAATCACACAAAGAGTGCTATACAATTCACAATATCGTGTTTGCACGGTTACACGAAACTGCCTCACAATTTTAGATAGTTCTGCAAGCTCAGAGGTGAAGAAGTGTTGGTACCATTCTACGACGATGGAACTGAGATGTAATGGGTGGGACACGTGACTATCAGAGCAACAACATATAGTCAGTTAAAGGAAAAATTGTATTTAAATGTAATGTCACTCTTGACATAGAAAACACTAAATAACTAGCTGCTTGCGATTCCGCTCCTGGGTGGTGTGTACGTGCCCATCCTCTGTGCATCTGTCAGCGCTGGTGGTGATGTGAGTGGAAGGATCCTTTATGCAAAGTACACAGCAACACTGTTGCAAGTACCGTGATAAAGTATCATGATTAGTTCTCGATAAGGATGAGAGTGATGGTACGTTGATTCTGTGCCACGTCGGCGGTTATTGTGGGTATCACTAAAAGGATGTATATTTCCCGACGAATAACAATTGGTCGCAATTAGGTGTCTCACCACTTAAGAAATAATCGGATCCTGTATACTACATATTTGCATTTTTTAATGCTTTTTACCTTCAGATAAGAACTCCCTCTACTCGTAGCCTCAGATTGAAAATGCGTCTCTACGGTACAGTGTTGAAATCTTCGCGGCCATGGCTTGCCGCTGTTGCCATACCTGCTACAATGGGTGTAACGTATATATCGCAACAACGCGGTTCCAGCCGTTGCAAGGGTTTTGTCCCCGCGTCCGAGTTCCTGTACAAACCATTGTCCGAGGACAAGACATCAAAGAGCAGCATCGAGTTCAACACCAAAGCTCCATTACCGAAGCGTATGGAGGCGCTCATCTTGCGCGTTCAGGACGAGATTTGTGCAGGTATTGAGGCCTTAGATGGCAAAAAGTTTATCGAGGATAAGTGGGAACGTGAAGGTCACGGCGGGGGTGGCCGTAGTCGGGTCTTGCAAGATGGCAATGTTTTTGAAAAAGCTGGTGTGGGTATATCTATCATTCACGGGACGCTTCCACCCGCTGCCGCAAAAGAGATGACGGCCAGAGGCAAGGAATTAAAGGCAGGAGTCGATCTTCCCTTCTATGCGTGTGGAGTGAGTCTCGTGATGCATCCGCACAACCCGATGGCTCCGACAATCCATCTTAATTTCCGCTATTTTGAAGTGGAAACTGGATTGTTTGACGATGCTGGAAACTCGAAGAAAATTGGTTGGTTTGGCGGTGGTGCAGACTTGACGCCCAGTTATCTCTTTGAAGAGGATGCCCGTCACTTCCATGCTGTGTACAAAACCCAACTGGATAAGCGCGATGCCGCTATCTATCCGAAGTGGAAGAAAGCGTGCGACGAGTACTTTTACATTCCTCACCGTCAAGAGTGCCGCGGTATTGGTGGTTTCTTTTTTGATGATCTTACTGATACGTCAGAGGATAACTTTCAAATGATTCGCAATTGTGCCAATTCCATGTTGGACGCCTATGTGCCAATTTTGGAAAAGCGAAAGGATATGCCATATACTCAACAGCAAAAGGAATGGCAACAAATTCGTCGTGGGCGGTACGTGGAATTTAACATCATGTATGATCGTGGAACAAAATTTGGTCTGTTAACCCCCGGGTCGCGTGTCGAGTCTATTCTCATGTCGTTGCCATTGACGGCTCGCTGGGAGTACATGAATAAGCCAGCACCTGGCTCATGGGAGGAGAGAACTCTTGAGGTGTTAAAAGATCCTGTAGATTGGCTCGATGTGCCTCGCGTCGACTTGGAAACGCTTTCGACGAATGAGCTGCTTAAGGAGCTCGCAAGAAGAAGTGAGTAATCTGAAACCCGAAGCTGTAGCGATTTGAAATACTTCTCAGTTCTGGCTGCCCTGATTTTCAGTTTTATTTTACAATTATTTAAAAAAAACTGGCTGGTCTATAGTCATTTTATTACTTAAGCGCAACTTGAACTTGGGTAAGGTCACGTCGTGACACTTTTGAGTGGCCCCGTTGTTGATATGCTATTGTCGAACGTATCTCGTAGCTTGCCATGCGCCTTGACGTTTGCCAAGGGTGTGCGCACCTTTGCATCCGAATCAAACCATGTCAATTTGGCTATGATAGGAACTGGTCGCATGGGACGCATTCGCTTGGCCGGAATGCAAAATGATCCTCGTATTTCAATCGCTGCAATCGTCGATCCGTTTGCCAGTGTCAATCAGCTGCAGGATATAAGTAGCCAGTATGGAAGTGAGTGCTTTACAACTCTTGCGGAGGCTGGCCGCGCCTTAAAGCAGAAAAAATGTGTAGTAAACGGTGTCTGGATCTCTTCACCAACTCCCACGCATTTACAACTCATTAACGACTGCGCCGACGGAATTCTGGGCAAAAATGTGAAGGCTATTGGCATTGAAAAGCCTGTTGCTGCCGTAGTAGACGAAATTGATGCGGCATACCACGTATGTCACAAGAACGACGTGAAACTCTTCTGCTCCTATCAGCGTCGGTTTGACCCGAGTTACCAGGCCCTCCGGGCTCAGTGTGTGGACAAGCAGAGCATCGGCAAGCTGCAGTCGATTCACACGGTTTTTCGTGACCATCCATGTCCGCCCATGGAGTTTCTAAAGACAGGTGGAGATCCATTTCACGACCTCGCAGTGCACGACATCGACTACGTTTGTGATCTAGTAGGCGAGTACCCGGAAAAAGTTTACGCGCACGGCACGAGCTTATCAGCTGAATTGAGAGAAGCAAACGTCATGGACAAGGCAAGTGTGTGGCTTGAATTTCCAAAAACGGGCGTGGTTTGCACAATGGATCTAAGTCGTAGTGCTGAGTATGGTTACGACCAAAGGATTGAAGTGGCTGGTGAACACGGCATGCTACAGGTGCTGAACCCGAGCAAAACCGCGACAGTACAGTCCATGAAGGCTGGCATTACTGTTGACACGCTATTCCACTCATTCCCAGAGCGCTTCCGTGAGGCGTATCTACTCGAACTCGACAGTTTCATCGGCGTGGTGCAAGGCAAAACGTACCCCCGTGTTCATTGGGGAGCTTCACGCATGAATACCATCATTGCCGAGGCTGCTCGCATTGCCGCGGTTGAGAAAAAGGTTGTCACCATCAAATATACTGGAAGCAAGCAAATGGCACCCGAATCTGACTCGATCTTAGAATGCGAGTACGAATTCTAAGGATCAGGTCGTGGCACTGAATCATGTTAGATCGTGTACTACAACTCGTAAAAGTAAGCTCGTGAATTGCTATTATCCACGTATCGGAGCGAGGTTCATTAGCAGCCGTGCTGTTACGATAACAATAAATGCATCACTGACGCTTCGTGATTATTCACTTGCTAACGTTCACCATTCAGCATTCAAAAAAATTGCGTCTTTTGACCACAGTTTGATATGCTGTTTCGTTTTTGTGTTTGTTTGTTCGCACGGTTTTTGTAGTTTGTTTATGTATGTGATACTTTTTTCGGTTTAGCCGACATTTTTGGCTAAACAGCGGTCTCGTAGGGTTTCGGGTTCACATTTCGCCCCCGTTTTGACTTCAACTCTCGCTGAAAATTG